AGCCAATCCGTGTACTTCCACTTTGCTTGAGGAAACCTGATGTGGCACAGTTCTAAAGTGGGAGGCTCATATTTTTGTGCCGTAGGTTGTGTTGGAAAAATTATTGGGTTGACAAGAGAGCACAGTGAAGAAAGGTGCTTGCCATCCAAGCGGATGGCCTGAACTAACTCTCCGGGACCCATGTAGGACAAAACTAACTCCTGTCTGTTGTCCTCTGGCCAAACGCAAACATAATTAAGGGTTTTTCATGACTAAAATTCTTCGCGTTCTTTCTCTGTCACCATTCCGTGTGCCTCTTCAAAGTTACTCAAGGGTTGTACACACAAAACACTTGTGAAAGTCTGCAGGAAAAGAGGAAAGATGATCAAAGTACTCTATGAAAAATGTCTTTACAGGACAGGGAGTCTCTCTGGAGATGGAGGTAGTGTTGATAAAATGTGAAGAACGGGGGGGGGGGTGACGAGGTGATGAGTATCTGTATCCCCAGTACCCAAAAGACAGAGGCAGGAGAAGTGAAAAAAGGGGATCCCAAGAACTCATTGGCCAGCCTAACCTAGAGGGCAAGTTTTCTGTTCAATGAGAGACTTTGTCTCAAGGCAAAGAGGCAGAGAGCAATAGAGAAAGGCACAAGACACCCTGCTCTGATCTCCACATGCATGCACATATGCAATCACCTGCACACTCACATGTATGCCCTGTAGAACACACACACACACACACCCCAACAGAGGCAAGAGGATTTTGAGCTTGGGGCCATCCTGGGCTACACAGCAAGACCCTGCCTCACAACAAAACAACAACACGGGAGAGAAAGCATCTAGTTTAGGGTACTGGTTGTATTCTCAGACACAACTGACAGCATCACGTATGAGCAACGGTTCTGAATCAAGATGTCTGGATCTAGAACATGCTTTATTCTGCCTTTGTTTTGTTGAAATTCAAGAACTAATAGTACCTACATGTTAGGACTACATGAGTATATTGATGTTCACGTAGCTGATAGTCATCTAAATGGAATATCTGACATCCAGTTGATAGCCCCTGTTCCTCACCCACCTCAGCATCTCCAGGCTTTTCTAGACTTGTACTGCTCTCCCTGAATGAAGACCAGATGCTCATCCCATTCCCGCTGGACCTCATCCTCAATAAGCATCATTACAGGGCTCTCCCTCTTCTCTCAGGCGACTATTTATACTATTCTTATGAAATGAAGAACCCAAACACTCACAGTCCTAGTTTGTTTTTATGAATCTATAACAGAATACTTAAGATATGAGTGGATTTATAAAGAGCAGAGCTTTGCTTTCTATGGTTCTACAGACTGGCAAGCCAAGATCAAGGGCTATAGCTAGTCATTCTCTGTATCATTTCTCAGTGGAAAGCAAAAGAGAGGATGAAAGAGAAGGAAGATAGAAGGAGGGAGAAGAGGAGGATATGGGATTGAAGTCGTCCCTTTATTGGGAGCCTGTTACTGGTATAACTAATGCACTACCACACTGGTAATATTAATCCATTAACAAGAGAAAATCCTCCATGAGCTAATCATCTCTGAAGTCCCCCCAACACTTGCAACACTTTCGGTAGGGACTGAGTTCCAACGTGCACTCTGGAAAACATATTCAAACCACGCCATCCCTGCATGCAAAGGCCTTAAGCAGAAAAACACAATCCTCCTCTTTTCTTTGCAATACCATCATAACCTAAGGCAAATAAGGAAGTGGAAAAGCCGCACGTAGTAGCACCAGCCTTTAAGCATAGCACTTCAGAGGGAGAAACAGATCTTTATGAGTTCAAGGCTAGCCTGGTCCACATAGTAAGTTCTAGGACAGCCAAGGTTACATAAATGAGACCCAGTCTAAAAAAAGGAAAAATGGAATAAGTCCCCTAAACAAAAAGACAAGAATGATAAATGAGGCTACACTTACCCTTGTGTTGGCTACATCAGCCTGACATTCCAACCTCTGCCCCAAAGATCAAGAGATCCTTGTTTTGAAATTGGATACAAATCAACACTGAGTTTTGGCTCCTGTGCAGCCAAAGTTTTCTTGAGATGAAAAGGGGGGAGGGGCTATACTCCTTTATTGTCTGGTCAAGTTATGCAAGCATGGTTGATTTGTGCAAATAAATTTGTCACTGAGGGCATGAGGCAAGCACCTTTTTGAATTCTATCAAGCAATCTGCGGGCCCATGACGCCAGCCAACACTCTCTCTCAAAGGCCTCATTGTGGGCCTCTGTGCTCCAGGCCGCTCTTTGTTGGCCTCCGTCCACCCCTCCCTGCAAACACAGGACCATATTTGCCACTCAGCTGCCAGGAGCTGGTAGGAGCCTATAAACAGAGAAGAGCCTTTCTTAGCAACCACTGTAGAAAGAACACAGCTACCCTTCCCCCAAGAGAAAAGCCCTAAGATGGGGAAAGAAAGGAGGAGAAAAGCAACCGGAAATTACTTGGGAAAATCAAAATAACAATCCAGTGTGCAAGCTTCTAACGCTGTTGGCTGCCTTTGTCTTGAGGGGTTAAAAAAAAAAGTAAATAAGACCCTCTTAAAATTCAGAGGCCATCTGCGAACAGATTAAGAGGCGACTAAGAAGTGACCTCACCACCATTTGCAGACGTCTGGTCACGCGGATATCTGCAAGATAACCAAGAATAATCCAGTTATGTTATTCGACTTTATCTCCTTGGAGAACGCGCCAGGCTTCCTCTTGCTATTTTTAGTCTTGAGCGTCAAGCGCCATGGGAAGCATCATCGTTAGGAGAGCTTGAAGATCATTTGCTCAGAGCAGCAGGTAAAGCCCTGAGGAGTGGAAATCACACTCACCCAAAAGAGCCGCGTTAGCCCAGAGCACATGGGTGGGCAGGAGAGAGCTGAGGAGCTGCAGCTGCAGACAAGGTTTTGATGGAAGTGGCATTTCAGGTGCAGGAGAAGCGTCATTTAGAAAGAGCCCACGGGCCTGCCTGGCCTGAGCAGAAAACACTGCAGAGGATCTGGGGGAGTGCTAAGGCCAGTTAATCTTTGCAGAGTTGAAATGTTTCTGCACTTCAGTCAGCTCCCTCTTGTCAGCCTGAGAACTGAGAATGCAAGGCTAGTTGAGAAAACAGGGCAGGTCGGCATGGAAACCTGGAGGATCTTGGTAACAACACTTGCTACAGGGTTTGCTGGAGAGAAACATGGGGAGTCTTTAAGAAGGACAGCTAAGTTTGGTGCAATTCGGGGAGACCAGATAGGATGAAAGGTAACACAGCAGAGAACTGTGGTATGCTAAATGTTCATGCTTGAATGGAAATAACCTTTTATGGGCCACCGTCTTTCCCTTCAAGTTGCCTGTCTGCAGGCACTGAGGCTGCCGAAATTCAGAGTGAGGATATCAGGAAGGACTTTTCATCCTGCTTCCTTACTATGTCCATGAAGGCATGATAGAATATGTTCAGCTCTGAACTCCCATGAATGTTTAAAGACATTCTTTCTGTGAACAGAAAGATTCCTTATGTCGTGCCCCAGTTCCCATCTTTAGCATCTCCATAGTTGCCCTTCAGTAAGTTACGATCTGCAAGGAAGTCACTAAATCCCAGGGAAATTGAAGCGAGGAAACAGCAGAGCCTGGCCTCTGCCCTTAGACAAACGTCCTCTTCTCCAGCCTCCATCCCGCAAGAGATGAGCATTAGGTAAGAACACACAGACGGCACCAACACGCCAGCCACCACGGGGTACTCGAACAGTGCTGGCACTGACCCGCAAAACGCCACTGCAGTAGCACGGAGAGGCATCAGCTAGTCAACTTATCAAAATAAAAAGCGTTGTTTCGGCTCATGGTTTCATGTATTCTAGCCCAAGATAACTTGGCCCCGTTTCTTTGGGGCCCTTGACAAGGCAGCATAACAGGGCAGAAGTGTGGGACAGAACAAAAGCATTTACCCAACTGGATGGCCAAGATGTGAGAAAGAAAAGAAAGAAGAGGGCCTCTCATTGCTTGAAGAGGATACTCCCAATGACCAGACTCTTTCTGCCTAGGCCCAACCTCTTTTTTTAATGTAACATTTTGTATTAATTTTGAGACGTTCATATAACATATTTTGATTATATTTATTTGCTACCCCTCTTGGATAACCCTCACCTCACCTTCAACTCCTCAATCTCTACTACTTTTCCCACAACCCATGGAGTCTAATTTGTGCTGCCCAGACCATCCTGAATGCGAGGCCAACCACTATAACACAATCGTTACCACAGAAGCCCCACCTGATTCTTTCTCTTCCAGAAGCTAGCAACTGTCTTGTTATCCCCATCCGTGGGTGAGGATTTGTCTTATACAAGGTTCTTACTGCTGTGATGGAACACTATGATCACAAGCAACTTGGGGAGTGTGTGATTTATTTGGATTACATATCCCGAGTCAGTCACACACAATCCACTGAGGGAAGCCACGGCAGGAACTCAAACTGAACAAGAAGCTGGAGGCACTGATGCAGAGACCCTAGAGAAAAAAATGCTTACTGGTTTTACTCAGCCCGGTTCCTTTTAGAACCCAGAACCACCAGCCAAAGGTGGTACCCCCACACACACAAGGATTGGTCCCTACTATGTCAATCACCGGTTAAGAAAATGACCTTCAGGCTTACTTGCCTACAGCTGAGGCATTTTCTCAGTTAGGGTTCCCTCCTCTCAAATGATTATAGCCTGTGTCAAGTTAACATTAACCTAGCCCGTGCAATTTATCCCTTGTCAACTTGAAATGCAAACACATCTCTGTTGAGCCATAACCTTTCCTTTCTTGCTCATCCACCAAGATCACACATTAGTATCAAGATCACAATATGAACTATTCCTACAGTCTTTAAAAATTCAAACACTTGAAAGTTCAAAGTTTCTCAACTTTGGACTTCTATAAAATCAAAATCAGCGAAATACTCTATTCCCAGAGGAAAAATCCAGGGTGTAGTCACAATTAAAAAAAAATTCCACAGTATAAATAAATCAGTAACAAATGTCGGGTTACTTACGATTTATGGACTCCAACAGCCTGGGTCACTTTCCAGCTCAACCCTCAGCAACAATTGTCTTCTAGGCTCTGGCTGGTTTCATGCTGCTGCTGCTGCTGCTGCTGCTGCTGTTCTTGGTGGTCCTTCCACAGTACTGGCATTTCCAAAATGTTGGGGTCTTCTACTGCACCTTCACCATGGCCTCTCCTAGGCTCTCTTCAGGGACTCCAGGTTTTCTTACAGTGATGAGCCTCAGATGATTCCACGCCCCCTTCGTGCCTTCAAAAGCAGTACCACCTGGGTGACTCTCACACGACCAAATTCAGCTGCCTGTGTGAGTGTCGCCTCAGCCATGTCTGGAACGCACCTTGTGTGTGCTGATCCTGAGGAAACACTTTTCTTTCCAGGAGACTTCACCTCGATAATGCTGGTCTCTTAATTACCGCTAATTGCCAGTATCATCAACTGTCCGTAGTAAAGCAACAGTTTTACTTTGGTGGTGCGGGGTCTCTTGGTAATCACAGCTGAATCTCCAGTTCCAACTGACTAGAACCACAGGTTCTTAATTCAAAATATCAAATGTTCCTCACAGTCTTTGCTTCTCTCTGACACTTCACGAGCCAGGACGCCATTACCTCCACAGCTCTCAACATTAGCCTTTAATCTCCCAAGTTCTCAGAAGAGCTCACTCGGCTTTAAAAACTCAAAAGCTTCTCCAACCCAGAGTTCCAAAGTCCTTGCACAGTCCTTCCCAAAACACATGGTCAGGTCTGTCACAACAGTACTCCATGATCCTGGTGCCAATTTCTGTCTCAGTTGGGTTATTATTGCTGTGATGAAACACTATGACCGAAAGCAACTTGGGGAGTATAGGATTTATTCGACTTACCTACCCTGAATTATCGTCCACTGAGGGAAGTCAAGGCAGCAATCCAAACTGGGCAGGAACTTGGAGACAGGAGACGATGCAGAGGCTAAGAAGAATTGCTGTTTCCTGACTTTCACCCCACGACTTGCTCAGCCTAATTTCTCAGAGAACCCAGAGCCACCCATCAAGCTTGGTACCACCCACAATGGGTTGACCCCTCCTATCTCAAGCACTGATGAAGAAAATGTTCTACAGGCTTGCCTACAGCTGGGTCTTATGAAGGCAGTTTCTCAGCTGAGGTTCCATCCTCTCAGATGATTAAAGCTGGGCCGAGTTGACATAAGACAGTACAGGGTTCGTGAGCCTTTTCCAACTGCATGCTAGAAGGCCGACTGGCTTGATCTTACACAGGTCTTGTATAGGCAACCACACATAGGCATTCATGAGTGCAGAGGTCCCGTCATGTTCAGAAGATATGGAGCACACAGTTATTCTCTGTAGTTTGACCAGTGTTTCTGTTTTAACCACTGTCCACAGCACAAAGATACTTCTCTGATGGACTCTGGGAGCTGCACTAATTTATGGATAGGACAGGAATTTAGAGAGCAGTTTGATACCATGTCCATTCGGCAGAACAACTGTAGTAGGTCCGCCCCAGGTGGCCCCACCTCTTAAAGATCCCACAGCTTTGCAAGGTATCACACTGGGGATCAAGAGATTTGTGGGCTCTGGAGGACACATATGACACACAATGTAATAGTATGTTCTGTTTTCACTACAAAAGTAAGAGATTATTTGAAAAGAAGATATTTTCTTTATATCATTATTGCATTTTTAAGAAAGTTTTTCTGTATGTTGAGCAATCTCTGTATCTTTGAGATGAAGTCTACTTGGTCATGGTGGATGATTTTTCTGTTGTGGTCTTGGATTCAGTTTGCCAGTATTTTATTGAGTATTTTCACATCCAAGTTCATGAGTAAGATTGGTTTGTAATATTCTTTCTTAGTAATGTTTTTGTGTGGTTTAGGTATCAGGGTAACTGTAGCCTCATAAAGAGTCTGGCAGTATTTTTTCTGTTTCTATTATGTGAACAATTTGAGGAGTATTAATTCTTCTTTGAAAATCTTGTAGAATTCTGTGCTGAAACCATCTGGTCCTAGGCTTTTTTTGGTTGGGAGACTTTTGATGCGTATTTCTATTTTTCTAGCAGTTATAGGTCTATTTAAGTTGCTTATCTCTATGTAATCCACCATATAAACAAACTGAAAAAATGCATGATCATTTCATTAGATGTTGAAAAAGCCTTTGACAAAATACATCATCCTTTCATGACAAAGGTCTTAGAGAGGAGGAACATACCTAAACATAGCAAAGGCAACAGCAAGACAACAATCAACATCAAACTAAATAGAAAGAAACTAAAAGTTATCCCACTGAAATTAGAAACAAGACATGGTTGACCACTCTCTCCGTATCTATTCAATATAGCTCTTGAGGTTCTAGCTAGAACAATAAGACACCAAAAAGAGATCAAGATGATACAAATCAGAAAAGAAGAAGTAAAACTCTCAATATTGGCTGATGATATGATAGTTTACATAAATGACTCCAAAAATTCTACCAAAAAGCTTATACAACTCATAAACACTTTCAGTAATGTAGCAGTATACAAGATTAATTCAAAAAAAATCAGTAGCCCTTCTGTACACAGATGATAAATAGCCTGAGAAAGAAATCAGAGAAACACCATCCTTCATAATAGCCATAAGCAGCATAGATCTCCTGAGTAAATTGGGATCATCAGTATCAAGGGAGAGGGCAGAAGGAGAAGGGGAAGGAAGGGAGGAAAGTAGAGAAAAAATACATAGTTTAATTAAAAAATGAAACATAGTCATAATGAATTTTCCCCTTGGTTTTAGTCTTTTTAAAAAAAATTGTTTTTATTGAGCTAAGTATTTTCTCTACTCCCCTCCCTTCTATAAATATCTGTTAAGTCTATTTGAATCAGAACATCTGTTAGTTCCCTTATTTCTCTCTTAATTTTCCATCTGGCAGACCTTTCCAGGGTGAGAGTGGGGCGTTGAAGTCTCTCACTATTAGTGTGTGGGGTTTAATGTGTGAGTTAAGCTTTAGTAGTGTTTCTTTTACATATGAGGGTGCTCTTGTATTTGTGGCATAGATGTTCAATATTGAGATTTCCTCTTGATGGATTTTTCCTGTGGCTAACATGAAACGTCCTCCTTTGTCTCTTTCGATTGATTTTAGTTTTAAGTCTATTTTGTAAGATATTAAGATAGCTACACCAGCTTGTTTCTTAGGTCCAGTTGATAGGAAAATTTTTCCCAACCCTTCACTCAGAGTCGATGTCTGTCTTTGAGGTTGAGGCATGTTTCTTGTATGAAGCATAAGGATGGATTCCATTTTTGTATCCAATCTGTAGCCTGTGTCTTTTTATAAGTGAGTAGAGTCCATTTATATTAAGGTATATTAATGACCAGTGATTGTTAGTTCTTGTTATTTAGTTTTCATTGTTGGTGATGTTATTGTGTGTGTGTTTCCCTTCTTTGGGATTTGCTGCTTTGAGATCATCTACTGTCTGTGTTTTTGTGGATGTAGCTAACATCTTTGGGTTGAAGTTTTCCTTCTAGTACTTTGTGTAGGGCTGGGTTTGTGGCTAGGTATTGGTTAAATCTGATTCTGTCATGAAATATCTTGTTTTGTCTGTCTATGGTGATTGAAAGTTTTTCTGGGTATAGTAGTCTGGGTTGGCATCCATGGTCTCTTAATGTCTGCATAACGCTTGACCACGACCTTCTGGTTTTCATTGTCTCCACTGAGAGTCAGGTGTAATTCTTATAGGTCTATCTTTATATGTTACTTAGCCTTTTTCCTTTGCAGCTCTTAATATTCTTTCTTTATTCTGTATGTTTAGTGTTTTGATTATTATGTGGTAAGGGGACTTTATCTGATCCAGTCTATTTGGTGTTCTATAAGTTTCTTGTATCTTCATATGCATATCTTCTTTTAGGTTGGGAAAGTTTTCTTCTATGATTTTGTTGAATATATATTTTCTATGCTTTTAAGTTGGACTTCTCCTTCTTCTATACCTATTTTTCTTAGATTTGATCTTTGCATGGTGTTCCATATTTCCTGGAAATTTTGTATTAAGCTTTCATTACATTCAATGTTTTCTTTGACCGATGAATCTATGCCCTCTATTGTATCTTCATTCAGTGCCTAAGATTCTCTCTTCAATCTCTTGTATTCTGCTGTTTATGCTTCCTAATCATTTTCCCATATTTTTCTTTTCCAGAATTCCTTCAGATTGTGTTTTCTTTATAGTCTCTATTTCAGATTTCAAGTCTTGAATTATTTCTTTCATCTTCTTGATTGCCTTTTCTTTGTTTTCTTTAATTTGTTGATTTCTTCCAACTTTTTGTTGTCTTCTCTATTTCTTTGAGGGAATCTTTCATTTCCTCTGTAAGGGCCTCAAACATTATCCTAAAATTATTTTTTAGGTCATTTTCTTCTGCTTCATTTACATTGCGGTGTTCAAATCTTGCTGTTGTAGAACTAGTTTTCATTGGTGTCGTGTTGTTTTTTGTGGTGTTGAATGTGCTCTTACCTTGTCTACCCTTCTTTCCCTCTGATTGGTGTCATTGAAGCTGTGTCTCTGGTGATCAGTCTTCCAGGTGCCAGTGGATCCAAGGCTCAGATGGTTGCTCCTTGTGGTACACTCAAGGCCACAGTTCCAGTCACCCCAGCATTCATTCAGTGTTCCTGGAGGTCACTCAGTGCTCCTGGGGTTGCTCTGCAATTCTGAAAATCAAAAGTCATTCTGGCCTGCTCCCACGGAGGTAGCTTTCTTGGGGCTGCTCCTGTTGAGGTTGCTGGAGCAGGCCTGCTGTTTGTTACTTCATAACAAAGACTAACAAAGTCACAGGACCTAGAGGGAACACAGAAAATTAGTCACATCTGCTGCTACTTCTCTTGGCTCTTGGCCTCCTAGAAAATCTTTGTTAATACGGCCAGAACAGTGATAGAGGTAAAAACCTAGAAGAAAACATCCTAAAGGTTAGCTAAAATTCACTCTGCATACATTCTTGGAAATCTGTAGGTGCAGCTATGGTTTAAAAATGGTGGTATCAATAGCATCATCATGAGAATTGTCACATTGCAATCTAGTTCCCCTATCTCATATATGATTTTTAATATTTTTCCCTTTGTCTGTCATTTGTTGTAACATATATTTAAGAAATATTATTTTCTTATTAAAATCCTAAAATTCATGTTATTGGTTAACCACCACTACAGTGAGTTATACAGTCTCCAGGGAACTTAGGGAATGTCATTTCCCCCTCTTAGTATCTGGTTTAATTTAGCATAAAGGAGAAAAAGGAAAAGACAGATCTAAAGCCCTCTTCATCCACTAAAAGCCAAAAATTATCCAGGACTATTTATAATCATTATAAATTTACAATAATCATTCGACATGAATTTATACCTTAAGAAAAGGTGATGTATATTTACAATGCTAATTGCTATATGTAAGAAGATGTCATAATGAAACCCAATATTTTGTTTGCTAAATTAAAACATTAACAAAAAGAAAGGGAAAAGAAGGAAAATGCCAAATGGTAGTGGAGAATGGAGCTACTCGAACTCAAACACTGCTGAATTTAAATGCTGAAGCCACCCTGGAAATGTGTATGTCAGTCTCCAAAGAGGAATATAAGGGTATGGAATAAACATGTGTGGAATCTTGTTAGTCCATCCCTAGATATTGGCCTAAAGAAATGAATATAAAAATCTACACAAAGTCATATGTGATTTAGGAACTACAGTTCATCATGTTAGAGAGGGTGGGAGTGGCTCATTGCTATGCCAAGGAGAAGTTGGGGTTGCTAGCAACATCCAGCCAGCAGTCAAGAAGCAGAGAGATGAACACCAGAGTTCTTTGGTCTTTTTCTCTTGTCCTCTTTTATTCAGCCTGAGCACCCAGCTCCTGGAATGCTACTCCCTACATTCGGGGTGGGACTCCTCACTTATACTCCCCTAGGAACACCCTTAAGACTCCTGCAGGTGTGTCTCCTAGGTAATTCTAAATCTAGTCACACTGACAATAAAGACTAGCCATCTCTATCATCGTGCCCTTTGGGGATAGATGAGAGAAACCAGAAACAGAAATATCCACCCTGCCGGATACTATCTAATCAAACTTCCAGAATATGCAAATCAAGTCATCAGTGACAAAAACCAGATGAGCTGTTGCCTGAGGCGAGAGAGAGGAGGAGAGAGCCTCAAAGGGACAGAAGGAAACATTCTGGGACAATGAAAATGTTCTACATCTTAATCTGAGCAGTGACTTCATAGGCTTGTACTACGTGACAACATAGCTCATTGTTCCCTGTGGGTAAATTGAGCAGTTCTCTCTAAGTGGATGCCTCTTGCTGTATATAAATTTCACCTCAATAAAACCAAATGTAAAATATCAGTTAGGTTTTAGGTGGGTGTTTATATTTGGGCTACATTCTTTTCGTTGTGAGAGGATCCATTCTCTGTAGAACCTCTTTGCATCTCTGGGACATTTTAAAGACCCTTTACTTGGCATGAGTCGAACAGAAGGTCTCAGTGCTCTGCCATCACAGTAGACCACAGGGGCCCAAGTCAACCCTCTGACCGGCCTGTTCCGAGATAGTGGCTGATGTTACATTTCTATCATTAATGCCCTTGTTTGGTACTCCCCACTGGCCAGCCACAATCCTGGCTTCCAATGTTCTTCCTTCATCGGCTACCAAAGACCTGCATCAAGAGCCCCCTGCTTTAGAAAGTTTACCTCACTTTCAAAGGTGCAGATAGGATCTTGGCTTTATGTTGCTGGAGGTTGTTTCCATCCCAAAGCTGTCTGGCAACTGCCTTGGTCAACTGCACTGTGGTCATGGAATGTTTCCCAGCATCTATCCCACAGTCCTGAGGAGCAGGCTCTCGTAAACACTGTTGATGAAGGAGAGAGGTGTGAGCATCTGTGAAGATTCAAGACTGGAGTGGGTCCTGTCTCAGAGTCACGGGGCAGAAACTGAACACTGTGTTCAGTGTTTGAGATCTGCAGACTTGAGTTTGCTTCTCAGAGCAGCAGGTCCATGCCTAGGGAGACGATGACCAAAACTTCCAAGAATGTGTCACTCCACCCTGGAGTAAGGAATGAGATAGAACTCAACTATCAAAGTGATGCCAACGTGGAACTATCTAGAATGATACCAGTTGATTAACAAGGTTGTCGTGGGTGTTACAGACGTGTACAACTCAGAAAGAGAAACAAATAGAATCAGGTGAGAGGACTTAGAGTAGAAATAGTTACATATAAGTAGATGGCACCGTGTATGATAACCAATCCTTAACATACAGGTCTAGTTCCAACCCCCCACTATTCTCTCATCAGGACAAGGAGGGATTCTGAGTCCTGCACACTTTGGGGGATGGAGATAGATGTCACCCTCCATCAACATATCTACGTGCATTTCACCGACTGAAGCTCTTGGTGCTGCCTTAACCCATGTTATAGTTCTTGGTGACACACACATTCTTTTTATTTTTGTATGGAACCATTATCTTTTGGGGGGGGGGGGTTGAGACAGGGTTTCTCTGTGTAGCTGTGGAGCCTGTCTTAGAACTCACTCTGTAGACCAGGCTGGCCTCAAACTCACAGAGATCCGACTGTCTCTGCTTTCTGAGTGCTGGGATTAAAGGGGTGCACTACCACCACCCAACTAACATTATCTTTTTAAAACTTTTGGTATGATAAAGGGAGAATGGTGTGTTGCCAGTGACTGCTCTTTGGACTGGAGAGGGAGGGGGGAAGGGGGAGAAGGGTGGGAGGAGGGGGAGGGAAATGGGAGGCTGGGAGGAGGTGGAACTTTTTTTTTCCTTTTCTCAATAAAAAAAAAAAAAAAATTTTAAAAATTTAAAAAAAGAATGAGCAAAAGAAGAATAGCATGTTTTCTTTGCTCTGAGTTGACCATATTTAATACATTATTGTCATACAATTTTTCCAGAAACAAGAAAGCATGCTGTTACAATAAATGTCCTTAACACTTACAAAAAAAAAAAAAAGAGTAGAAAGTCTACTCATTATCTTTGGCCGTCTTATGAAGGCTGATATACTGCGACCTAGGGAACCTGACTATGCCTAGTCCAGCTGTAGGACCACAGTACTGACTTCAGCTTGAGGGCTTCTTTTTCCCCAAAAATGTTAAGCACCTACCTGCTGGTTAGCATCATCACCTACATTCCCATATACAGAACAGAAGCTGGAGAGCCCTCATCACTTATATGTGATGTCTTAAGGCTGAAAGGAAGAGATGAAGACATATCAGTGCTAGTGTGTGGTGAGAATCCACACTGAAGGATAGACTCAGGCCCTGTGTGAAAACAGTATTCAAAAGCTTACAATTGGCCCTTCCCCACATCCCCATATCACAGAGGCTGGAGAGTTCTATCCCAATTGCCCACAACAGAAAGTTAATGCCAGCAGGACAGGAGGCCAGTAAGGAGAGCCTTGATCAGGGCAGAGAGTCAGTCATTTCTTCTCTAAGAGAAGATTCAAGTATAAAAGGTCAATTTTCAACATAGCATCCTTGAAGTTTATGATTTTACTCTTGACTTATTCCCAAGTACAATCCGTACTTCTTTGGCCAAGTTGTGGGAGATAGAGAAGAGGAAGAATGCGTGTCCTTTGCAGTTTGGGAAAGAATGTGTACTTTGTGTGCATTATTCTTCCTTATCATGTTTGCTCAACTCAAGGCCTCTCGCTCAGGAACCACAAGATAGGTTTAAATAAAGCAGAAGGGAAATTGGATTCCATCTATCAACGCACTGTAACACAACCAAAACTGGATGTCTTGGAGTTGCCCAGTTTCTTCGCTTATAATTAATACTGTTTAGGATGCCCTGTCTGAGACAGCATTTAGCTTTCCATTTCCTGCAGAGCAATTCATCTTCCAGCTACCATGCACAATAAGAAATTACATATGAGTCAAGGAAGGAAGGCGAGGAAGAAGGGAAGGAGGGAGGGAGGAAAGATGTTTCTTTGCTTAATTTTAAAGTATAGTATAGACATATCTCCTTCTATCTGGGTGCTCCACCTTCTTTTAAAAAAAAATACAACTTTCAAGTAATAGTAATTTTTTTTACCATATCATCATTCTTTTGCTCAAACCAAAATTCAATGCTGATATTTACATGAGAAACAATTAAAAGGAAATTGCTTTTGCTCTTTTTCACTAGAATGGTCTTTATCTAGATCAGGAGTAAAGCTTCTAAATCTTTTATTTTTTTTTCACAAACTACAGTACCCAATGCCACTAAGCATTCAGCTGATGTCCATGCTGCTCAGAAGGGAACTGATAGCAGATGGTTCTATACTTCCTTCTCAAGAACAGCCAAGAAGCAGCTGCCATGGAACTGTGTTTGCCTTTTTTTCTCATCACATTGTTCTCGTTTCTCCAAGTAGGATCTGAGTCAGGAAGCTGGCTGTCCAACCACGTGCAAATTAGTCACCTCTATGACTCCAAGTCTGCCCAGTGCAGAATGAGGCTTCTACAGGGCTTCGTATCCAGAGCTACCACCTAGAAGCCAGGAAGCAGCAGCTGGTGGCAAGGACGGGAGTCATGAGTTAAAGGTGGCTACAGGTTTTAAATTCCCAGCTTAACAACAAAAGAACATTGAGTACGTGTCAGATAAATGCTACTCAGTCAGTTCACAGATGCATTTGAACGGATGTTCACACTAGCAGAGCACAGGACAGAGTTAGCTCTATTCTGTTATGGGACATACGTTTTCACAAGAATATTGCAATGCTCTTGAAGCACATGGAATATGACAAGCTACTTTTAGAATTCTTGAGTGGGGTGAGTCAGTATTGGAAAGAAACTTCAAAAAGGCTCAGCATCATCTATAAACTATATAGAATGAACGTGCAGAGCCTTGATTAAGACCAAAGCACAAAGTTCAGAGTGACAAATAACTGGGATCCCAGCATCATTTCATGAGCCTGTCTAAGGAAACTCTAACACTTTCTGAGTTAGTTTCCGCATTAATAAAATGGGAATGTAAATGCACTCCTCGATGAGTTATGCGCATCTGCAGAGCTTAAAAATATAACTGAATGCAAAAAGCCCACAGTAAACATTAACACTTAGAGTTCAACTAAAGTTTACTAAGTTTCCTGCAGATCTACTCTGATCACTGCAAGTACAATAATCAAGCAAGGAAAAAGGGAAAATTAACATTTGAGTTTCTATGAACCCATCACTATGACCTATGCTTTTACAGTGGTATGAATTATTTTTTAACCTGAGACTTTACTGGGCATGTATTATAACTGTTACTGAAGTGGGGGGGGGACAAAGGGAATGTAAGGTCTCTGAGAGAGCAAGAGGTGTAACTGGGATTCCAAGCTATGACTAACCTCATTCCCTGCACTTGCCATCAATAAGACAGTCCCTTTCCTTGAAGAACCACCGAGGGCGAAAGAGTTGAATGTGAAGACGAATCATAACAAGATGTTAGGTGCCAAGGATAGTGACCAACTGGACGCCTGCTCCTAGACAATAGAGGATGTGCTTGCCACATTAGATAAGCAACAACTGAAAAATGAAAATAATCTTCCTTGACAAATAAGTGCAGTATTTGTCAAAAATGGTAGGGAAATAGTAAGATCCAGATTCGGTGACATCAAAATGTCAGGGGTGACATTGTGGCACTACAGAGTCATGGAGAAGTGCAATGGGCAGCATTCATACCTATCCTGGGAGTCAGTAGATGAAAGCTCTGGGCCTCCAGCTGGACATGACCGTATAGAGCAGCGGTTTTTAACCTTCCCCATGCTGTGAACCTTTAATACAGCTCCTCATGTTGTGGTGATCTCCAACCATAACATTATTTTCATTGCCACTTCATAATGTAATTTTGCTACTCTTATAAATTGCAATGTAAACATCTGGTATGCAGGATATCTGATATGGGACCTCTGTGAAAGGTCTCTCTGCCGTGATCCACGGATTGAGAACCAGTAGCATAGAGACTCGGCAAAAATAAGCCAAGAAGGAAGTCTCCTCGACGATGACTTGGTTGAAACTGATAGTCTTTTCCCACAATGTATATTGCAACTTGTGGGGTTCCTGGGGATTCATCTGTACTTACAACACCTGCAGGTTCTACTTGTTAAGCGCTGAGGCCTCTTTGCAGCAGATCTAACCTATGTCTACGGCTCAGCTGAGCTTTGCAGCATCTTCAAGGTCTTTCTGCTGTCCTTTTGCTCAGTGGTCCTTCATGTTACAATACTCACTCGTCTCTCATTGTGTGTGAATTGTTCCACAGGACTTTTAACAAGCCTGTTTTATAACTTCCATCTGTTGAAGGACGTTTGTTTTCTCCAAGATGTTTGAGCCCTCCCTACACTCCCGGCAAAAAAGAATACATCTGCTTCAATGAATCCTTGTTACCAGGCTACTTTCTACAGACCACATTATTAAATTATAAAAGGCTGTCTAGTCTCTCTCTCTCTCTCTCTCTGCACATGCGTGCATGTGGTGTGTGTGTGTGTGTGTGTGTCCCTCTGTCTGTCTCTCTTTCTCTCTCCCTCTCTCTAAATACAAGCATTATTCTTGTTCATTTCGAATGTCTAATCCAAAGCCTAATGCTTAATCATTTAACTCATAAATTCATTTAAGCCTCTCCACTACATAGATCTACCCAACCTGTCCACAATTTTCTTCCAACATTCCTAAAAAGAAAATTTCATAATAGTCCTCTCACTACTCAGCCCTCCTTCTAGCCTTCATGCCAACTTTAGGCTTCCATTGCTTCTTCAATTGCCCTTCGATCTATATAAGATGATTTTACTGCTTCTCTTGCCTACAAGCTTTGCTATTCAAGTCAAATCTTTCTTCTCTAACAAAAATTCAATATTTTGTTTATGATATGAAAACTATTGA